CTAGTTCCAAGGGTTTCTGCCAGCCGCCTTCATCCATCGGTTACTTTCTTATTTCTATTATACAGGCTACCCACAATTGTTAATCTCAGTGGATTTATGATTATATGGCTTACAAGAGACTTGTTCATTCAGTTATCTTTCATTTTGAAGAAAAATAGTAAATTTCTTAGCATTATATGGGTAACTTAGCAAGGAATATTCAGGTTAATTAATATTTTCTTTCAAATAAACACTTTTAAAAATCCTAAGTAACATCGGCTAAAAATTCATCGTGTTTTAGAGCATTGCTTAGCAGTACTTTCTGCCTACACTAAGAATGTTGAAAATTCCCGACATGAATGTTGACATGTAGCCACTGTCTTTTGATTCTTCCATTCAACGCATATTATACAAGAATCCATATCACTTAATCAATAAATAAATACTAATTGATTTGTTCGTAGGCATAACTTTTAAATAATCCGTTGTTGTATGAGTTTAAAGTATGCCCTGAATAGCAATGTTTAGGTGAAGTGCAACAAATACTCATCACTTTTCAATTTCCGCTTAGTCCTGTATATGATTATGTGTCTGGGTGATAAGATTTTTCAATTACACCATTGTGTCTATTTCCGTCAACTATGGATGAAATACGGTGTAACTTAGGTACAAGAGATAGGATTTGCATCTACGCATCAGACAAGCATATTCTGGAATGATTGAAGATACATCTGTCTCAGGTGAACTGTGGGACTTAGAGTATGATTTATTCGTTTTTCAGTTCCCCAGCAGCTTAATTCTTGAATCTTCGGATGTCTTCTTCATCACATCAGACACATAACTGTCAATTAAACCAGTATCGTTCCTGTTAATTCATATTAGAATTGCACATGTGGGAAGATATTATTATCAACTTCTAGTAGACGTATTTAGATGGCATTGATCAAATTTAGCCTATTCTTTGACAGTCGATCATAAGGATGAATATGATTACGGTGTAATTGTTTTTATAAATAAAATATTTTAATATTTACCATCATTAAGACAACTTCTAGGAGCATCAACCTTTGTATTAGCTTCTTGCCTTGTTGCATAATGTTTGGTTTGTCTATCAATTATGATTAATTCTACATCCATTTCTAAGATCTATGCATTCTATGAACTATCCTTGCTCCTGGTTTTTAACAAGAATTATAATCGCAAATATTTTGTCGCAGTTCACACTACTATTTTGAAAAACCATATATATATATATATATATATATATGCAACAACTTGAGAGAAGAAGCATCCAGGGAAGATAGGACTTCAGGTGAACATAGAGAAAACAAAAGTGGTGAAGATTCTTGGTCAACACCACCAACAGCAACAACAAACGACAACAACCAGCATAAATGGGAGAAATCTGAAAGAGTCAACCTCCTTCACCTACCAACCTGGGAAGCATCGTTTCAACTACAGGTGGACAGAACTGATGAAGATATGAAAGCGAGGATCGGGAAGGCAAGGCAAGCAAGCTTTCATTACTCTCAAGTCTGTGTGGAGATCAACACTCAGCACTCAGCATGAAAAATAAGATCGGGATTTTCAACTCCGATGTGAAGTCAGTCAGTGCTACTATACGGATGAGAGACTTGGCACCGTGTCACGAAGGGCATTTCGAACAAACTACAGACCTTCATCAACAGCTGTCTTCGCCCAATACTACTGAAGATCTGATGGCTGGCCAGAAAAGATGAGGAACAGGGAGGGATCTCTGTCAATGAGCGAACCAAGCCAGCAGGAACCGATTGTGCAAGAAATATGCAGGAAGAAATGGAGGTAGGTGGATTGGCCATACTCTGAGAAAACAAACGATGAAGTGAGTGACATCACACGCCAGGCCATTGCTCGAGTGGAACCCGAATGGGAAGCGGGGAGTTGGTCGTCAGTGTGAGGGTGAGGTGACATGGAGGAGGTGATGTGAAGGGGAGATGAAATCATGTGGGGAGACTTGGAGCTAGGTGAAAATGTTTGTGGAGAACCGAAGGCAATGAAGACGTGCTGCTGAAGCCCTATGTTCCTCTAGGAACTAAAGGAAACAATATATATATATATACTATTTAACGGCTTGATAATAAATTCGTTGAAAAGCATCTCTCCACTGAGTCACTTATTTTAATTATCATATATAAGGTAACATTTTGTAAATTCTACTTCGATAAATCTGTTAGCATTAAACAGAGAAATGGCGGTAAAAACATCTTTTTTTCTCATTTTGTACGAGAGACGAGATTTTTATAGTATAGCCAATGGTAATGGGTGGGAATGTAAATATTCACTCTCTATATTACAGTATGTGATGATAGCCTAAGGCTCTAAGTTGGAATTGATAGAGACGAAACTGTTAAGAGACTAGAACAGTTATTTTTAGTCCGTGTTATGCTTAGTTGTTTAGTGTATTTGTAGATATCTTCATTCAAGCATTTCCATTATGATAATTCGACAACGCAATTTAAGCAAATAAGTAATTTCTGATCAGACTTCACAATTATATCAGAAAATTATTCAGCAAAGGCTTTCGATATCAATGTGGTTAGTAGATTTAATGTATATGAATTGGTGGATAATAATCCAAGGCGTCATAATATAATAATAATAATAGAAATAAATTCACAAAAGTGTTTATATAATCTGGGTAGTTAATTTTTATGAACCTGTACCTAGAAGATGTGTTTCGAAATTGATTGCGATCTGACTTAACTTAGAGAACCATTGTGAACCACCACGGAGTACTGAACAACTGTATTGCTCTTGTTCGGAACTCTTCAGCAGTATGCATACATTACTCCACCACAGGTCGAACCCATGACCTTCAGTTTACATGGCGGAGTCATATACCATTGAGTCGCTGGGACTGAATCTAATGGCCCATTAATTCTAACTTCTGCCAATTCTTGTATATATATATATATATATATATATATATATATATATAACGTCACCACCAGCAAGTGTCATCCGGGGGTATCTTTCCTCACACTCAACTTCGTGGGCCTCGCCGGTGGCAACTTCCCACTGGAAATTCAAGCAATTTCATCCTATAGTCAGTCACTACTGAGTTCTAGATTAATTTTCAAGTTTTGGATTGCAGGGATTCGATTGATTACAAGACTGATCATGAATTGGCTTCAGCTAGAGAACCACTGAAAACCACCACCGAGTATTGAACAACTGTCTTCTTCTAGTTTAGAACTCTTCAGCAGTAAGCACTCATGACTCCACCAGGGAGTGAACCTAGGATCTTTAGGTTAAAAAACAAGCTGTTTGACCACATAGCCACTAAGATGGAATGTGTATATTTGCATATATAGAGAAGAGAAATATCTGTTATCCCCTGTTTGACTGTGCTGGACGTAAATACTCGATGTCCGTTCATTTTTTGTCACCTAATATGGATGCTTCGACGACTTTTGCAGATTCACGTGGAGTTATTTTTAGCTGGTAGTGACTGGCAGTGGAATATAAGATGTGTACTTCATCCTATTCGGTATTCATTAGCTGGATGTGCCTGCATTCCCCGGTGAGTAATGATGTTCCCAGGGTTCGAGTCTCAGCTGGAATACCACTCACTGGAGTTGCGAGTACATCCAGTTAAAAAAATCCCAAGTACGATAAAATACGCATCTTGGATTCCACTGCCAGTCACCTCCAACTAAATATCACTTATGAAATTTGTGAAGATTTCGATAAATTTCAGTTTTCAGATTCCAACACGAACCAACATCAGTTATAGACGATTAAAACCCAAGGGGCACTGGACAGCTGTTTCATCCTAGGTTGGTGCTCCCTAGTCTTCTATAATCTCTGACTGATTTTGGCTCGTAACCAAATTTGCGTTAGAACTGATCTAAAACCCCAAAAAATCCCATATTCTGAATATCAATATCTCCAGTTTATCTATTTCTATTGGATGGGATGTCTTAAGGCTGTAGTGAGAAGTCGTGACCAGTCGGGTCCATAGCGTCAAGGTGAAGTTAGTGCTATGCCATGAATTGACAAAGTCAGAATTCTTACCCAATCGGCTGAATGGTCAACAAGCTTGGTCTCGTATAACAGAGGTCCTTGGTTCAATTCTTGGTGAGTTCATAGGTGCACACCGCTGAATAGTCTCGAACCAGAACCTAACAGCTGTCGAGTGCCTCCTCGTTTTCAATGATTGCAATAGCCGATGTTGTTTCATGACCGAATCTAACAATCAAATGTTATTTAGTTTGACAAGTAGATATGATGGAGAAGATTTGTAGCTCAGGTGGATGATTTTAATGTGGTTGTGTTCTCTGAGCTGGATAGTTAATTTGCGAAGCTTTCATCGCCCTACTAGGCAACATCTTCAGCGCATACTTCAATTTGAAGTGGGCTTTTAGATTTCTCCACGAGTTTATTAATCATCTCTCCCAGTGACCTTGGACGTGATTGGTTGTTCTTGTGTGTTTTCACACCTTCTAGGCTACTTGCATTGGAACTGATTGTTTCCTTGACTTGGACTTGGACCCTTTGTGTGTGAGGTTTCTTTCTTACCGGTTGATAAATTTTGTCAATCTCGATGTGTCTGTTGATTGATGATTCACTGGAATGCCAAGCTTCTAAAATGTTTTAGAAAACATAATCCAACCAAAGATCAAACCCAAGATTTTGATACGTTACGTGGACGAAACATTTGTAATAATCAAAAGAAACGAGTTAGATAAAACCCACAACTTAATAAACAACGTCTTCAAGTCAAGTTTTCACTTAATTTATTAAGTGCATAGATAACTAGGACTTGCAGATATACATTTTTAAGAGTTCAAGACTCAGACAACTGAATCATCCTAAATGTTTGATTTTCTCAATTTGTTTTTATGTTTCTTGGACTTTTATGCAATAATTAATATTCATTAACACCTTTATTTGATTGCAACTTCTAAGTAGCTGAATAATATTTAATATCTGAGTGCTTATTAGACTTTCTTGTTCAAAAAAACACATTCTCCTTATAGATTTGGAGCATTCGAGGAATTCAAACGTCATAATGTATCGCCTGATGGAACGCTTACAGCTGGAAGAAAACTTCTATGTGGTTTAGGTGAGTTGAATATATATTTGTCCTGTATAACGTGACACTGATTGTCTGTGTGTCTGTCTGGATTCAACATAGAACTTGGCACCGAAGTGCAGCAGTTCGAGTTGCCACGTTCCAAATAGCACACAAAGGTAGACAAGAAAATGAGTGAAGAGAATCAATAGAGTTTTGACAAGTATATGAGTGAAACAGAATGAGTAATGGTAGAAAGGAATATGAAAGATTACAGAGACTGAATACATCTGCGCCATTGACAACGATTTTGAGCCATGTCACCTATTGTCTCCAGCCATTGATTCTTAGAGTCCCGAGGGCAGGCCCCAACCCGGAAGTCTGCATCTCCCTACCTGACTCAGTTTAACTGTCAAAGATTTCATGGATTGATGCCATGTTTTTGTTTGGCCACCACTTACTCTTTTCCAACCTGCACCTATATCAGCTAGTAATGCCCGTCCGGGGGGAGGCGATGGTTAGGCATGCGCAGCACGTGACCTAGCCATCTCAATCTATGTAACTTTATAGCCTCTTCGATTGATTTTCCCTCTTTGCCCAAGACTCTACGCCTAACGTCAACATTACTTACCTTATTATACCACCTAACGTGAGAAAGAGATCGTAGACATCTATGATCAAAAACAGCCAACCTTTTCATGTCTTCAACTCGTATTGGCCATGTTTCAGAGCCATAGAGAAGGACGGAGCGAACTGCTGAGCAGTACACACGTCCCTTGGTTGATAGTCGGATGTCACGCCTACGCCAGAGATGGTGTAAGTTAGCGAAGGCAGCTCGAGCTTTTTGGATCCGTGCTGAGATTTCGTCGCCAATCAGTCCGTTGATGCTGATACAACTTCCCAAATAGGTGAAGTGGTCAACATGTTCTATCACTTCACTCCCTATCACTAAGCTAGGAGTTGACGTAGTCCAGTCCTGTAGCAGCATCTTACATTTTACAGGGGCGAATCGCATGCCAAACATACGGAGATTGCTGCTCAAAGTGTTCAGAAGACTCTGCATTTTGTCAGCATCCTCCCCTAACAGGACTATGTCATCTGCATATTCTAAGTCCATAAGACTATTCCCTGGTAACAAGTCGATTCTTAAGTCGTTAAGTTCAGTTAAGGATACTTCCATACTTCCACACTGATTGTAGACAGTGCAGGAGAACTGCAGACATTTTGGCTTAGAATTATTTGATACTTGACAGATAAATAATATAAGTCTTCAACATAAAGTTTGGAACAAAGAGAGAACAGTGATTAGTTACTGAAGTTATGATGTTTCACAAAATGTTTCAATTTTGATTTTTCTCCCGACTACTTGAGTTTTGTTCATTCTTTCATTTTCTTTTATTTTTTAAATGTGTGGAATTCTTCATTTCAACATCTGTTTGTCTGTTAAGTGTTTTCCCTGCCTTCTGTCATCTACACAGCTCACAGTGTTAAAAAAATAACGTTATCAGATGCTAAAATCTTATCCCTCAAGAAAAAAAAAGGGATTTCTTCAATAAATTCAGTATTGTGTCAAACACACCTGACTGAATATCCCTTTAGAGAAACATTGTTAAAAGGTTCTGGTGTATAGCTTAGGGCTCTGTTCCCTTTTCGGACAATATATTACTGTGGGTTTATTGTACAAAGTTACCTTTAATCGCACTATCAATGAGTACTCAATTTGTTTCGCTCATATGGTGTTGTATATTGGGAATACTGCTAATCCCTTCTGGCAGGCTGATTTTCAATAACCAGCGAAGGTAGCTGTTGATGGAGGTGTGTATTAGCTTAGTGGAAATGCTCTTACTAACATGACAAGTTTCTGAACCATATAAAAGAACTGACTTGACATTAATTAGTCTTGGAAATCCGAATGATGTCACTTCTGCTGAGTGCAGTGGATTTCCACATTAATTCCAGAGCAGTGAAGGTATCTGTCTGGCCATTTCCACCCTGACTGCCTTTGACATACTCATTCGTACCGCCTGTAGTTGAAACGATGCTGCCTAGATAAGTGGAAGTGGTAACCTCCTTCAAATTCCTCCTGTTGGTAGTGATTCGCGGTTGCTGTTACTCAAGTGTCTTCATCACATCTGTCTTCTCTTTGTTCACCTGTCTTGTCTGCCAGTCTCTTCTGACAGCTTGTCCGTTTTAGCCTGTAGATCTCGAGTTTGTATGGCATTATACAAAAATTGTCCGTAAAGTCTAAATCTCCTAGATTCTTCTTCTTAGTTCGGCGTGTGTCTGCCTTCTCCCATCCCAAGGCCTGGCGAAATATCCAGTCCAACATAATCAGTAATATTATTGGTGGTAGTATACTCCTGTCTTCATTAAAGATTCGCTGAGTTCTGTTGTAAATCACTTGACATGTGATATCATCCTATAGCTGTTGAATAAGGCTGATAAAGGTTTGGGGCACTCTGTACTGTTGTTAGTCCAGCTACAGGGTATTTCTACACGTGACACAATAATACTGAATTTTTAAAACAGCTGAGTTTTGTCAAAACTGTAGGCATTTTTTTATTTGACTTCAAACCATTCTTCAAAATACACCAGTACAGTCCAACAGTGCTGTTCAAATAAAATGACTTTAAGTGTTGGTTTTTAGGGATTTGATTGGTATGAGGATTTCATCATGAGCTGACATTGGTTAGAGAACCATTGGAAAACCTGGGAGTACTGGGCAGCTGTTTCGTCCTAGTCTAGGACTCTTCATCAGTACGCACCCACCGGGGTTCGAACCCACGACCTTCTGGTTACAAGGCGAGCTCGTAGACCATTAAGCTATTGGGACCCGATCCAATGGCCCATGAATTCTAACCTCTGCCAATTCACGACATAGCGCGACCCCTAGCAAATGTCTTAGGCGAGTATTTGTCCTCACACCGGACCTGCTGCACTCTACTGGTCACGACTTCTCACTAGAACCCCAGGTAACTACCTACCAGTGGTAGTCTGCAGCTGGGAGTTGAGAGCGTGTATTGGTGTGTGTTGGTGGTCGCGCTAAAATCGCGAATCTGTAGAAGTTAGAATTCATGGGCTAGCCATGGAAACGGATCCCATTGGCTGAACGGTATACAGGCTTGCCTTTTAAGCGGAAGGTCCTGGGTTCCGGCCCTGGTGGTGGGTGCGTACTTCCGATGAGTCCCAAACTAGGATGAAACACCTGTCCAGTACTCCCTGTTTGTGTTCAATGGTTCTTTTACTGATATCAATCCGTGACCTAACTAATTCTTGAATCTTAAAAAGTCTTCAATGTAGCATTTCATCATTCATTAGTCTTAACAAGTAACTTTACTTCCCTAGTAGACTAGATATACACTTTCTTTGGTATTCTTCTTCTCTTAAATGTCACCTTTTCTAGATAACCACTTGTATCGTATGGTATTCTGTGTCACCTATCTTGAAAGTATGTTTGAACAGTAGGTTATACCTTACGACTGCTAGCTGAGAATCCATCCGCCATTTTTTCTGATTTGAAATATGTACTCATGGTTGGTTTTTCATTTCAATGTTCAATGGAACACTAAACAACGATTTAATGTTCATCAGCTTACATATATATATATATATTATAGTTGTAATATCAAATGTGTAAATTTGGTTATTGATCTGTCCAGGTATATCTGCAAACATGTTAATAGTAGTAGTAGGATATGAATAAAACCTGTAGATTTATGCACAGCAGACTGTCGATAAATGTAGAATGTTTTGAAAGTTAAATCAGATAAATGAAGAAGAAAAAAATATACTATACTAACTTTACTTATAATTTATGTGTCTACTTGAGTCAACAGTGTATATACATGTATACTCGCATGTTATTTGAAGTTTGCATGTTATGAAGAAAGTCAATTCTGCAAATACCTCACTATTATAAGGAGTTTTTATTGTTTCAATTAATAAAGTACATTATGAATTTTTAACAGTTCATGCTATATTATTTGACAGAACAGATGATACTACTTAAATATTCATGTATAATCCCCATCCAGGCATTAATGAAAACAAAACACGTAGATCAGCGAAGAGTCTCTTTTCGGCGAATTCATTTTCTTAGCTGGACAATCGCAAATGTATATGTGTTATTTTGTATGTATGTGTGGACAGAATTTAGCCTATTTTTATTTTATATGGAAACTATTTAATTACAAATTTGATTTACAGTTCTTTTATACTACAAAATACTGCCTGTTCCTTATATGCAGGATACAATAGTTGATTGATATTCACAACTAAGTTTAGGAGTAAGTTTGATGTAAACCTCAAAAGGTGTATATGCGTCGGTGGTTCAATGGTAGAATCCTCGTCAACGGCGCCGGTGTAGTGCAGGTTCAGTCTCCTGCCAAGGCACTCCTAAACCTTGCCTAACCTGTAGTAGGCATGGAGATAAGGGAAGGCTGAGTGTAAACGAAGCTAGTAAGTCAACCTCTCAAAATAAACCACCTCTACTAAATAAAACTTTAAAGTTTAAACTTGAAGCGATTTGTTCATACCGGAAGGCAAAGGAGGGGAAAACAAAAAGGTGTATTTAAGTAGTGAAGAAGAAAACACGTACATCAGCGAAGAGTCTATTTTCGGCGGCGAATTCATTTTCTTAGCTGTACAATCACAAATATATATGTGTTATTTTGTATGTATGTGTACATTGAGTTTGTCAAACAAAAATACAATTGGTTATAGTTATTTTAAGTAAACAGGTGAAGATTGGTAATTGGAGCTACGTAATACAAAATCAGTCAAGAAAATTAGGTGTTAATGAAACTAGGGTAGTAACAAAGTCGCCCACTGATCTGCAGAAGCCTCAAGGACAAGAAGCCGCATCTGACCACTTTTATACGCATATACCAGTTCATCTGCTGCTGTGGAGCCACGTACATCGGTCGTTCGACGCGTATCCTGTTCAAGAGGATTCAAGAACACTATCCAGCATGGTTGTGAAAAAGCAATAGTGGTGCAAAAGGAGTGCGATAATTGAACACCTGGTTAACACTGATCATTCCATCTCAACAAACACCTCCTGCTTCAAAGTAATCTACAGAGTCAAGAATAACCTACCAAAGGCAATACAGTTTCGTCTTCTTTGTATCACTCAAGCTCTGGCCGTTCATATAGAAAAACCGTAGCTGTGTATACAAAAGAGGATTACTCTACCACTTCTACTTTCATGATAACAACTTTGTTGAACTTTGCGATGACTTAATTTTGTTTGTTTGCCTGTTTCTTTAATTGCTTATAATTCTTGTATTAATTTAGAACTCTTACGTAATTTCGAATTCTCTGCTTTGTTCCTATGTGTATCCCGAGTAAAACTCAATCATCAAACTGTTCATAATTTTACGTAACTCCTTTTTAACAACTGTTTGTGACAACTCATCACCTTTGTTACTACACTAACTTCATTAACACCCAATTTTCTCGACCGATTTTGCATTATGTTACTCCAATTACCAATCTTCACCTGTTCAGTTAAAATAACTATAACCAATTGTATTTTTGTTTGACGAACTTAATGTACACACACATACAAAATAACACATAAATATTTGCGATTGTACAGCTAAGAAAATGAATTCTCCGAAAAGAGACTCTTCGCTGATCTACGTTTTCTGTTTTCACTACTTAAATACTCCTTTTTCTTTTCCTTTCCTTTGCGTTCCGATCTGAACAAATCGCTTCAAGTTTAAACTTTAAAGTTTTATTTAGTAGCGGTGGTTTATTTTGAGAGGTTGACTTACTAGCTTCACTTACACTCAGCCTTCCCTCATATCTATACCTACTGCCGGTTAAAGCAAGGCTTAGGAGTGCCTTGGCAGCGGACTAAACCTGGACCACACCGACGTCGTTGGGGAGGATTCTACCATTGAACCGCCGACGCATATACACCTTTTTAGGTTTACATCAAACCTACTACTTAACTTAGTTGTGAATATCAATCAAATATTTATCCTGCATATAAGGAACAGTTAGTATTTTGTAGTATAAAACAATTGTAAATCAAATTTGTAATTAAATAGTTTCCATGTAAAATAAAAATAGGCTAAATTCTGTCCATCATAATTATCTCTTAATGCTCATGTATGACTATGTTTATTAAATTGGCATGTTACTGATATTCTAGATATCTGATTTAAAATGTTCATTTATATGATTTAAACAATATTTGACTGTTAAAGTAATAAGATATTTTTCTATAACTTGGTTTGTAAGGATTAGTTATGTTTTACGAGTTGATCACGGGCTGATATCAGTTAGAGAAGCATTGAAAACCAGGGAGTACTTGACAGCGTTTTCATCCTATTTTGGGAATCATCGGAAGTACGCACCCACTGGAGATCGAATCGAGGACCTTCAGGTTACAAGGCAAGCTCGTATACCATTCAGCCACTGGGACCCGATTCAATGGCCAACTCATGAATTCTAACTTCTACCAATTCGTGATTTAGCGCGACCCCAACCATTGTCGTTGATGGGACATCCATCCTCACACCTGACATCTGGATGGACCTCAATGGTCACGACTTTTACTAGAACTCCAAGAAACTCCATCCTGTAGCAAGTCACTAGCGAGCATCAGATTAATTTTCTATAGTTTCGTTTGTAAGGGTTAGTTTTGTTTGCTTCTCTAACTGATATCAATCCGTGATCAACTCGTAATAAGATATTAAAAATTCAACAAAAATAGGGATACATAAACGCATTTGTGATATAAAACAAGTAACAAATGTTAGTCAGATAAGATTTGATGAATTCATTAGATTTCAGGAGAGCTCCTCGGCTGAATACTCTACACACAACGATATATATATATATATGTATAACGAGCACCAGTCACTATCTACGGGAGGAATTTGAAGGAGTTTACCACTTCCACTTATCTAGGCAGCATCGTTTCAAATACAGGCGGTACGAATGAGTATGTAAAAGGCATTGAGGGTGGAAATGGCCAGACAGATACCTTCACTGCTCTGGAATTAATGTGGAAATCCACTGCACTCAGCAGAAGTGACATCATTCGGATTTCCAAGACCAATTAATGTCAAGTCAGTTCTTTTATATGGTTCAGAAACTTGTCATGTTAGTAAGAGCATTTCCACTAGGCTACCACAGACTTTCATCAACAGCTGTCTTCACTCCATACTGATGATCAGACGGTCAGCTGGAAAAGCTAAGCAACCAGGAACTGTAGCAACGGACCATCCAAATACCTATCGCCTAACAAATATGTCAAAGGGAATGGAGATGAGTTAGACATATGCGATGAGTGGGAACAGACGCGTCGGACGTGCAAGAGTGACATGGGGGAGATCGTATGAGGAGGAAATCAAATCTCATAGGTAGTCATGGAGCCGGCTAAAATAGAATGAAGTAAACAGGATGAAATGACAATGTGCTGTTGAAGCCCTCTATTCCACACGGAACCTAAGAGAATAATGATGTATCTTATCAGGAAATAAATGTTTCCAATCTCCCTGATAGTTTGAAAGCGAATTACTTATCGATTTATAGCATTCTATGTTTCCCAGAGATAGAGTCTGTAAAAATCCATATCTCTGACTCCAATTAGCGGTCGATCGTTCAAGATGAACACTACTAAGTTTAATTCTGTATAATTGTTACTTGATATGCCAGATTAGTTGGTATCTTGGTATGTAAAACACATTCTCTAACCTTCTTAGTCAATGCAAATCACTTAAAATACTAAAAAAGCGAGAAGCTTAATTTTTAAGTGAATTAACAAGTTTTTAAACAAAATATTTCTTAGGTTCACACAAACATTCCACTGCTCTATTTACGACATTTTACGGTATCTACAAATAACTACTTTAAACAGAATGATTAAAATATTTCAAGTAATATATTTTTTAATCACCTGACCAGTTGAGTCTTAGTTAAACAGACTGATTTATCACTAGAAGAAGTTGAAACGAAAGTGGAGATCTCCGTATGTGTAAATTAGCTGTGAGTTACTAACCCTGGGGCAGATCCACTAACGGGTCTGAAAAACTCAGATGCTGGTCTAACGCCTACCTCAACTAAAGCTTTTTCATACACTTATTCCCGTTAATGAATTTGAACAAAGCAAGAAATACAGTTTTAGCAGAATAAAATGGTACCATCTTTTATTTCGTTGCCTTCTCGTCAGCTGCTTACAGGGCAAAGACATTATTAAATGTATCTACAAAAACAATTTTAACATACTTGCACAGAGTTCATTTTAAACAAAAATCAATCGATCAATATACGCATACACTAATAATATGTATATATATATGCAATATTAAACACTATTCCGAACAATAATAATCATACACAATGAAAACTTTTCAGCATCTCGCATTTGGATGAAAAATATCCAGTTACCAGGGCAAAGAAAGACTGATAACCGCTTCTTTCTGGACGCATAAATCAGGTTTCAGGCGCTTGATGGAAATGGCTTCAGCAAACTTAAGGAGAATTGAGCTCTTTTGCTTATTGATAATTTTGAACGACTTTTCGACGTCCACCTCATGACCCGTGTCAAGAAGATGCCTGGCGATGGCAATGTTTAAAGCATTTGTTCCCTTTAGACGTAAGCTTTTTGGTACATGTTCAGAAAATCGTAGATATGCTCTTCTTTCTGTTCTTCCAATGTAACTGCTCCCTCAGATACATGTAAATTTGTATATACAGTTGGAGTTAACATGAGAAGGATATCTATCGATTTTTGATTGCATCAAAGAGCAAGTTGTTCGATAGACGGGAACGAGCTTAGCTGCAGGACAGGCTATGGCTAGTGATGTGTTCAGCCTTCTGTTGATCATCGCTGCAATGTTTTCACCTTTATAATCAAGCTGAAAGTAGATTGGCGTTTTTCCTACTGTGATTTGTTTTACATTTGTGACTTCAGATCTTCCATACTTGTTGATCAACCTTTGAGGGTACCCATTGCTCTTCAAAATCTTTTCAAGAAACTCAAATTCTTCCTCTAATTTCTCTATAGAGCATATTCTCCACGCTCTATAGTACATGGTCTTGACTAGACCACGTTAAATCTTTTTCTCTGAGAACTTTCAGTCCACACTTCTAAAATATATTCATACTGGAAGTATATAAGAATGGAAAATAGAACTGAAATCATATCCAAACTCAGCAGATTTTCTCTCCTCCACAGAGAATAGATGATGTTTCACTCAAATCACTTTTCAATAGGGAAGTGATACTCGTGCATATTTCGCACATGTGACCTCAAAAAGTTATCAAGTTCTTTAGGTAGAGAGCAGTTTCGTAATTTTCAAGCAACGAAGACTAAACGTTTATAAGTAACTATTAGAACAGTTGATACTTCTATTTTAAACTAATCTACAAAAGTTATTCAGATTGGTTTAAAATAGAAGTATCAACTGTCCTAATAGTTACTTATAAACGTTTAGTCTTCGTTGCTTGAAAATTACGAAACTCCTCTCTACCTAAAGAATTTGATAATTTTTTGAGGTCACATGTGCGAAATATGCGCGAGTGTCACTTCCCTATTGAAAAGTGATTTGAGTGAAACATCATCTATTCTTTGTGTGTATTGTGTATTATAATAAATAAATTGTATTCATAATTTTTGAATTATTTATTCCTTTCTAAATATTTACTCTTTATAATTACAGGTGCAGGTGTATGCGAGGCTATATTGGTGGTGACTCCAATGGAGACGATTAAAGTAAAATTTATCAATGATCAGACATCGAAAAATCCACACTATCGAGGGTTTTTCCATGGCTGTCGTTGTATCATCAAAGAACACGGTAAGAGGAAGCTTTCAGTTAACGTAGACATAAATTTCCTTGAAACCATAACTCATCTCTATGTTGAAGTGTTTTTTTTCTTCACGTTCCCCGGTGGAACATAGGGCTTCAAGCTAGTGGCTTGAAGTTTCTGTAGCAGTGTTTATTTTACAGGGTGGGGTTGCTAGCCTCATGCCCAACTTTCCCTCTTCACCAGCATTATTTCTGGCTTAGAAAGGTAAAGGAGTGCGTCGGCCGGGAATCGAACCCCGGACCGTGTGCATGGTCGGCGAAGTGTAACCGACCATAATCAATTTTTACGTATTTGGCGGGAGTCAGTCATACGCAAACGTCTCTCAAAGGATATTATCTAGTTTCTGGTTTAATTATCTAAACCATTGGTAAAGCCTTGAATATCTGATGCTACTTCAACTTAACTTTATTGGTAGAAAGTTTTAATAGTGCTAATGGCAATTAGTCAACTTTATAGCAAATTATTTTATCATAGGTTTTATTTTCTACTAAGCGGAAATATTGAAGGATAGTAGCTCACTAAAACGTCATAGCTTTTTTAGCGTTTGTATCACATAGATGTGTTTCGATGAGGTCTACAGCTTCCTCTGTCAGGACTCTTATTAAAAAAGGTGGTTTGCGAACTCTAGTACCTAACAGTTAGAAAACTCAAGTATTGGTTTGTAGGGATTTGGTTGATTGGTTACGGGATTTCATCATGAGCTGACATTGGTTAGAGGACCATTGGAAAACCAGTTGGGAGTACTGGACAGCCGTTTTGTCCTAGTTTGGAACTCTTCGCCAGTACGCACCCACCACAGGAGGTTCGAACCCAGATCCTTCTGGTTACAAGGCGAGCTCGTAGACCATTAAGCCACTGGGATCCGATCCAATAGCCCATGAATTCTAACTTCTGCCAATTCACGATATAGCGCAACCGCTAGCCAATGTCTTCGGCGAGTATTTTTCCTCACACCCGATCTGCTGTACCCTACTGGTCACGACTTCCTACTGGAACCCCAGGTACCTGAATAGGGCCAGTCGCCAGTGAGCATCTCATTGATATTCAAGTATTGGTTTGTAGGGATTCGGTTGATTGGTTACAGGATTTCATCATGAGCTCACATTGGTTAGAGAACCATTGGAAAACCTGGGAGTAATGGACAACTGATAGTTGCCAGCAGTAACAGCACATGACATGATCTTGTTTGAAAGGTGAGTTGAAAGCTAACGTTTGTGCCTCAGAGAGTCCTCTTGTATTTACCTAACTTAAGTATTCCAGGTTACTATTTTTATTAACCTGTTAAGTTGTCTCTCCGGTGATGATATGCTCACTGTATGTTGAATATTGAAATTGATTGGGATACACTAAAGTCTTGCTTATTTAAGGTGTATTATGTTGTACTGCTGAGATGTAACCACTAAAAAGTGAGAGATATATAGATTGATTCATGAATATGAAGCACAGATGTGGTGCATTATGGACATCAAGAGTTGCCCCGCACAAATAATTAAACGACAATATGATGAACAATAGAACGCGAAAAGGCAGGTATAACTTTTAAGAACATTTAAAAGAGAGTTCCTTGCTTGAACGTTACTCTTAGAAATGAAAGAAAGTGAGATATTTCAGCGTACTGGCCATTGATTTCAAGTTTAAGGCATTTTTAGCAACTTCTCCAGCTTTTGAGTGGCATTAGTTCTCGTGGCGCAACCAGGAATTTGTGAGGCGCAAACACAGACCGCCTAGCGCAACTCTTCTTCGTCCTCCTGTTTCACGCTGAGGGATGGTCACCTCTCCATTCTCTCTAACGAGTCTCAGAACTACCAACCAGTAAATGGTACGCAGTTCACTGGAGTGACACTCGCAGCACATGTTCAAGTTATGATAGCATCGGTTACTGAAAGATTAATTTCACTCTATCTAAACATAAGTTTTTTCGCTACAAAATCATCTAAACCGTGACACTACTGAATGCAAGTAATTCACACATCTTGATCCCGAAGTGATCAAGTTTCTTAGGCCTAAAGAAAGACTGTAAACATCGAAGCAACTCAGAAGGGATATTTAACAACTCTACTTAAAGTGGATTTGTGCAGAGCTTTCAGAATTTTGATGAACTCCTCAGATACACCTCTTTCTTACAGATGTTTACAAGGGACATCCTTGTCTATCGATTCAAAGTCAGTCCTCAAATCAAGAAATACAGGGATTTTCGGTCTCTAACATGTGTATCAGTGTTGTAACAAATAAAGTAGAATTGTAACAACAGAAGACAAGGGCCAGGCAACAGATCGTTTATTAAAGAAAATCAACACATATTTATAGATTTTAATGTACATTATTGTAGATTATTGTTAGTAGAAAATACAGTCTTTTGATTGGTTGTTTCTCACAGAAAGTTAACCTTGCATCTCTTTGTAGCTGTATCAGATCATACATATGCTAACGGAAAGCCTTTGTTCTCATTTTCTCACCACCAATATTGGGGACATAAACATTGACGTCAATTACTGTCTACCAACCAACTTTGGCTAGCAGCCAGCTCTCACCACAGAATGAATACATGATCGATGTATCCACGAGCTGAACAACACAATGTGTGTTTTTAGCGAATCAGTCTTTGACACTTCACAAAGCTTGTGTAGCACGACAGCAACCAGTATTCTTGGTGCGACTGGTAACAAGCAGGCTAATACGCCGATTATCGCCATATGGAGTATGTAGGCGTTTTTTAAAGATAGTCACAATGGTAGCCTCCTTCCATTCCACATCGATCGGACACTCTCAGTCTCCATGGCTAGAGTTTCGTCATCACACATATAATAGTGATTAAGGTAGTTTGTCTGTCTGATGGAACTTGAGTTTCTGGAGTTTTTTCTCAAACTTTTGCATCGTTAGGTGTATTAATCTTACCCGACCATGGCACATGGTGATTTACAACACTAAACACTGGCTGTGTAGAAGTACCCAGCTGCTCTTCAAAATACTATTTTCAGGTTATTAGTCCGCATACCATGTGCCTCACCGACCTTCACTCTGACATCATGCCTCTTACTCTTAGTGGTTCATGTTACCTGGTGGGACTTCTGACCATTGTCAATTGCAACTAGTACTGGTATTACGATGGATACTATGACTTCTGCTACCACTTCCAGTGCTATCGTTAGCATTGTTAATATTGTTACCTGTGGAAGTTTGGCTTTGGTGTGCTGAATTTATTGATGATTGTTGCATGCCCACGGCAAACCGGATTGTGTATTGTCCATCTCCATGTCGAAGGACATTTGCTGTTTTAGAGATAGCAAGATTATACCCAAAACAATTTTTCCACATACATACAATCAGTTTCTAAAGTGTAGTTGATTTGTTACCCCATAATCCATTCCCTATAATTATTCTTAACTAAGTGAATGAGTTTTGATTTTACGCCCTTCTTCTTACAAAATATATTGTTTATTCAGTTCATGATTATTGTCACAGATTATATGAAATATCGATTAATTTTGTTAAGGGTCGGGAGAATATTAAAAAAGAATGGGTTGGGTTTTTTTAAATTGGTATGCTAGTTGGCTTTTACTAATAAACTTTTAGGTAAAATTACCTAGTAATAAAAAAGACACACGGGTAATCAGTAACAGTAAATATATCGTTTTTGATTAAGATGATTCCACTGGTTTTAACATGGCATAAAAGAACAATGAAATGTTATAAAACAACCACTCAGTGTTTATTCACTAGAACTAAACAGTATTATTCAACTCCGTGAACTTAGGAATGTTGAAGTCAATTGGTGGATGGTGACTAGCAGTGGAATCCAGGATGCGCATTTCATCCTATTTGGAACTCGTCATCTGGATGTACCTGCATTCCCCAGTGAGCCTCGGTGGGAACACAATCACTCACTGGGGAATGCAGGTACATCCAGATGACGAGTCCCAAATAGGATGAAATGCGCATCTTGGATTCCACTGCTAGTCACTATCTACCAGCTGACTTCAAGTTAAAAATGACCAGACATCGTCGAAGCATCTGCACAAAGCCGAAATGTCAACCTGAGACCGAGCACTTTGGTCCAATCAATCGACAGGAAAATATTAATTGAATTAAATAACTAGGAATGTTAAGTCGAATGCCTAGGCCAGTCGATCACAGCTTTATAAATATCTGCAATCTTTAGAAAACTAATGTTTCGCATAAGAATCAAATTCATTTAAACCTTTTGTGCGTATTAGCGGTTTCCAAACTGTGGACTGTTAGCTTTACGTTATCAGTTGCATCCTGATAACTGCTTTATCTCATTATTCTTACTCTGTATTGTACTTTTGAGCTGATTTATCCATATTAGTTAAAACGAGAAGATATAAAATTCGAAGGATTTTAATAATGTGTTGATTTTTGGATTCATATCATATGTGTTAGATCCAACTAAGCTAGGGGTAATTTCAATTGATACCATAATATATTTTTATTTCCGAAAATGAATTAGTCTAATGTTTGTTTCTATAAAATGCATTCTAGTTTCAGGTTTAATCACAGACTGACTATTAGAGAACCAATGAAATCCGGGAATACCGGATAGCTGTTTCGCCCTAGTTTGGGACTCTTCAATGATATGCACCCAAGTATCGCTTAGTTGTCTAGTACTCCCTTGTTTTCAGTATTTCTCTGACTGAAGTCAGTTCGCAATCAAACTTGAAATCAATCATATCCCTGCAAACTAAGTGATAGTCTCTATAAGTCAATAGTAAAATCCTTTATTTTCACGTTTAGTAACTTAAGTTTGAATCTGACACATAGAAAAACTTTCTTAAAGGATCCGGATATACAATTCATTATATACCTCCCATTCTTTTCATATGTAAATTTAGTTTCTGAATGGGTCATGATGAAGATGTCAAGATGAACATCATTTATTAGATAATTGGAGGCAATCGACAGGAAGGCTCCAACCATCTGACATCAGTTCAAAGAGCCACCTAGAATGGTGGATACATTGCAAACTTGA